AAGACTAAACACTTGAACTCAATTTTCTCCTTTGTGAAATTAAATCAATAAAATATTTACACCTTGATTTACTATGGCTTAAATAAACAAGACACATTAGGAGTTTGTTTTACAGAAATTTCTTGATTGTTAATTTAGTCCTCTAGGTTAGATTATAAACTAAAGAGAGAGAGAGAGAGAGAGAGAGAGAGAGAGAGAGAGAGAGAGAGACACTGGTTATCTGGTAAATATTGAACACCTACTATGTACTAGGCACTGAGGAAACAAGATAAATGAACAGCTGTGGCTCTTACTTGGTCACACTGATGTTCCTGGATGTCCTTGTGTCTGCTCTGAAAACAATAAATATCTCTGCTTCAGGTTGAATTCATAAAAGAAACAGTGGTTGTGGACCTGAATTTCTGAAGTAAGCAGTGATTCATTGATATTCTCATCTAATTCAGCTTCTTAGCAATGTTGTTCACTATTTCCTCTTTTTCTGTGTTTTCTAGATCTAGCATAATGCTATGTGATGTCCTTTGTTGTGGCTATCATTTGTTGTGCCGATACTTGTCCTTTCCTGATTTTGTGTGGTCTTCCTTGCTCTTCCTTAAGTATAAATGTTGTGAGTCCTGTGAATCATTTGAGCAAAGGGACACTTGGGTATTTAATGTGAATTAATGTAGGAAGTTGCTGAATGAACAGTTTACATTTCTAAGTGAAGGTCAAGCACCACCTCTTCCATATGGCCCCCGAGAGACTGTACCTACCATCAGACCTTGACCGAAGCACACACATATTCCCATCAGCAGAGATGCTCCTGTGCTACATAGACACACAGAACTGGATCTTTACTAGGGTCTGCTGCAAAGTAGCAGTCAAGACTTGTTGGTGCCAATCCTATTATGATATTAACTAGTGGTGACTCTTGGATTAGCATTCTTTTTTTTCTCTGTAAAATAAGAGGTTTGGGAGGGAAGAAAGTAAACTATTATTTTTCCACGACTCTATCAGTTATTTTATGAATATTATCTCATTTTGCCCTTGAATATTATTGCTCAAGTTTTCAGATCCTTATTTCATTCTTGTTCTCATAAGCATGTTAAATTTGTTGACACCACCCCTACCTATTCTATAAATGAGGATATAAAGGCATAGAGGGATTTTATAAATTCAGAAGTTTGTTATCATATAAAAATTAGGATTTTTTTCAATAAATAACCATTTCAAAATAAGGTTTACATGAACAAACAATAAAACACAGGAATAAAAAAATAGGAAAGCAAAGGCCTGGTTATTATCCTACTTCTAGTCAGGAAATTTTAAGTGACTGGAATTTGATTGGCATCTGAAGCTGTGGTCCTCAAGGACAATATGATAATCATTTCATCTGTGCTTCTGGTCTTTCAGAAAGATGACATCTAAGAAAAGTCATCTCAGTTTTCTGGTATTTTCATTTTCTCTCTACTCTCACAGCTTAAATTATTATACAGAGGTTGATGGCTTCTCGATCTATATTTCCAGAGTAAAGTTCTAAAATTTAAACTAAAAAACCCAGGCTGCCTACTTGACATCCGCACTGGAATGTCTCAGAGCATCTCTAAACACCACACATATAGAATCATATTCACATCCCCACATCATGCTCCACTCCTCCCCCAGTGATCTGCATCTGTGGGAGTAAAAGCCTCTTGCCCAGTACCATAAGCAGAAAACAGATTCTACAATGACATCTCTGCTTGTTTCCACACATCATTATTTGGCTGGACAGTTTTCTCCCTGCTTTCTTTATCTTTTTCCCTTGCTCCTTGCACATCCATCAACTTTGACTTTCTGCCTCAGATACCTGAAACTGGATAATTGATGAGAAAGAGATTTATTTTTTACAGTTCTGGAGGCTAGAAGTCCACGGATGAAGAGCTGCCATCTGCCAAGGGCCTTTTTGCTGTGGCATCCTTGGTGAAAGTCAGAAGCATAACAGAGCACAATAAATAACCATTTCAAAAGAGGGGGCCAAACTTGCTTTACGACAAGCTTATTCTTGGAATAATTAACTGACTCCAGGGATAACCAAATTTATCTATCGTGAGAGCAGAGCCTTTGAGATTTCATTCTCTCTTTAGGGCCCATCTCCTAACACTAGTGCACTGGGGATTGATTTTACCACATGATCTTTGGGGGATTCATTGAGGCCATAGATTAACCTTCAACGCTTTCTCAACAGTGTAGTCTTTGTAATCTTTTAGAATGTTAATTCTTCATGTGATCACCCACTTACCCAGATACAAACAGTGACTTCTTACTGCTCTAAGGAAAATATACAAAAATTTCTCACATGTCCTCTACTGCCCTTTAAGACTGAGCCTGAGGCAGGAGTTTCTTTTACCACTAGTCTAGACCCAGACTCCAGCTATTCTTCAAGAGTGAAAGTGTCCCTATCATTTTGTGGATCTGGCTGCTTTTGCTCCTGATAAGCAGATCTCGGTCTTGTTCCTTTCCTCTATAATTTTAGAGTTGACAGTTTGCCATGTAACCTCAGTTTCTCATGAGTCCAACAGAAGTTCCTGATTTTCAGTTTGTCTAACTTTTCCTTACTGTAGAGATGGAAGTCACTATAGTCTTCACATGTCAGATCAGCATCCAGAGGTCCCATGTTGTTTCATCCACAAGACACATCCCTCCATGTTTCCATCTGTGATTTCTTAGTTTTTCCTGATTCCTCTGTTATGAATTTCAAGCTTGTTCAGATTTCCAGAAAACTGTCTAGATACAGTTTAAATGAGTCTTTGATAAGAAGACCTTTTCTTTCCAAAATGTCAGTGTGCTTTTCTAAGTAACATAGTGGTGCTCCAGTGGGAGCCATTCTAGACAGTGTGACAAAATTAACTGAAAATGAGAACCACTGATGAAGAGTTTAATCAAGATTAAACCTTCATTATAAAAGGTTGATGGGGTGGGTGAGCACTTTAATGGTCTCATCCATTAACTCTCTTAGTGCTAAGAATTGATGTTCCTGTCCTACTTAGGTAAAGAATTCTCATTTCTTGGCAGAAACAAGAGTATAAATTAAACTATAGTAGTCATTTCTCTCAATTGACAAAAGGTTTTTTTTTTTTTTTTTTTGCTTCAAGCACTTATCTAGTGACTCAGTGTATATTGGGATGTTCTTAAATCAGTTCAATTTTAACACTCTTTATCATTAAAAAGTAAATTTACCAGTTGAAAACACATGGATTTATATAAATAAAGTGTCTTATGAATTACTATCTGTCATATAATTTTCACTTTTTTGGCAAAAGACATACGTCATTATACATGCATATTTTTAAAACCATAACAAAATAGAAAAATGTCTGCAAATTTTTCTCCTCTGCTTATTTTGTAGTCTCAAAATTACTTAATAATGAGAAGAAAAGGCTTTCATAAATAAAATTAAAATAAGAATGAAAATACTAATTCATAAAATTATAGGATTTGCATAAATTTAGGAGTTTGTTAATCCAGTTTCTAATTTCAATTGAGACAACTGAGACACAGAAAAAAACAAACGTTTAAAATCCGCTTTCCCATTTATGCTTATTAGAATCATCACCATCACCAAAGACCTTGCTCAAATATACACGGCTTTGGCATTTATTACAGCACATCTCATGTCCTTCACAAGTCATAAATTTCATAGAGCATAACAATGAGGAGAAAGTAGAGGAAGAAAAAGGCCTGCAGGAAGAGGGGCAACTTCTGCTCATCACCTGTCAAACTCCTAACTATGCATCTTGTGTCCTTGTAATTAAGCCTCCCAATATCCTCATGACAATGGTATTACTTTCATTACTCAGATAAAGAAAATGAATTTCTAACAGGTTAAGATATTTTACAAATCTCCCATGTCACAACCAACATGTGTCAGATTTTTATGTGAGTGTGAGAGTCTACACTAGGTACTCAGTAAACACAAATTTAATACTGGAGCTAACTAGAGAATATTTTGTATTCATAAGCTGGATTTGCAGGGCTGATTCATTAATTAATCCACAATTAAATAACAACTCAGATCAGAAAAGTCCAGATTCTCTAAATAAATAAAATTATTTTCCATTGTGGAAAAAAAAATGATCACTATTTCCTTGTTCTCTTCAAAATGTTTGAAAATGTTTTTTCAAATTTTATTTTTGTGTTTAAAGCATTATCCTTTTCTTTTTAGAGAATAATCTCCCTACCATGTACTAGTCTTCTAGCCAAAATTTTAAGCTAAGTAAAAATAACTTGCTTATTTAGCACCTTCTTAAAAAAGAATATATTAGTTATTGCTTTGAACACAGGTAGGAAGAGTATTCTCTAGTAGGGAAGATATTACTACTCTCATTTTAAGTATGTGGAGTCTAATTTCCCAAGAAGTTCACTAATTTTAAGCATATAGCTATTAAAATATGGAGGTAGGCCTCAGGAGAGTTCTTTAACCCCAGATCTAGTATTATTTCATTCAACCAATAATTAAATTTTTTTTCCACATTCTGAAAGTTCTAAACTAGTTGTGTCAGTTTCATTCTTCTAGGACTTTTTAAAAAGCTACCCTCAAATTTCTTTCAAACTAATGAACTTCCTCAGGGCCTGCTAACATAAACTTGTACTATATGAACTATTTTCATGTTAGAAGCTATTAATAATATTAGCATGGGATTTTCATATAGACCTTGTTATTTTATTTTGAGAATGTAGTTTTCATGAATTCCTTGGTACAATCCACAGAACTGCAAATATGTATATATACATATGTACATACATAGAGAAACTATATATATATATATATATATATATATATATATTCATGTATATACATTTGTATATATATTGCATATATAATATATGTATGTATATTTTTATAAACATTATTTTTTCTCTTTTTTGGTGCATTATAATTATACATAATAGCAGGATTCATTGTGGCATACTTGTACATGCATGTAGCATAATTTGGTCATAAACAATACATTTATAAATCTAAATAATCCTTCCCTCTGCAGTATTTTTGAACAGTGGCTCCGAAGGCATCGCCCTCTTCAAGAAGTTTATCCAGAAGCCAATGCACCCATTGGACATAACCGTGGATCCTACATGGTTCCTTTCATTCCTCTCTACAGAAATGGTGACTTTTTTATTTCATCCAAAGAGCTGGGCTATGAATACAGCTACCTCCAAGATTCAGGTAAAGGGCAATTTCTTTTTTGATAAATTACTGAATGTAGTGTGATCTATTTCTTTTATGGTAGTACAGAAGCTTCTTTTTCTGCAATGTTATCTTCAAACACTTTGAATTGGGCATGTATATTATGCTTCTTAGCTTATCACCAATTTATCATCACATGACCTTTGAATTTATATCCATTTTGCTTAATATAGGACACTTTGCACCTGGCAACCATGAAAGAACATTAAAGTTAGAATGGGGACATTTTCCAGCCATGACTCTGCCATTTAACTGTGGTGTTAGTTTGGGAAGTTTGCTTAAATTTCCTGAATCTCAGTTCATTAATAATCTGAAATATCATGATCAAAATACACCAAAGAATTATTGTGAGATTAAAGAGACTAGTGCTGGATGGCATAAGATAAGCACTGGCAGTTTTGTAATTTTCTTTGGGTGCTTCATACTAGTAGAAAAGTTGTGAAAATCTTGATTTTAATTCTAATCAATAATAATGACTATAATGATGATTACAATGTTTATTGCTATGTCTCCGATTAAGATAGTTGTATAAAACCCTAAGTTTGGTGTCAGATCTGTGTTTTAAATAATCTTCCTAAGTAGGACTATACCAGTGTCTCTTGGGCAAATCAGGGGTAGATGGCAATGTTTCTCCCTACAGGAAACCTGCTACATTCATATTCTTCACCTGCATTTCTAATAAACCTTTTATTATTTTTGAATTTTTCATTTGTTCTACTTAGTTGTACATGACAGCAGAATGCATTTCAACTCATCATACATAAATGGAGTACAACATTTCAATTCTCTTATTGTACACAGTGTAGATATGCACCATTTGTGCAATGATACATGTACCTAGAGTAATGATGTCCATCTCATTCCACCATTTTTCATATCCTCATAACCCCTCCTCACTCTCCCCGTTGCCCAATCCAAAGTTTCTCCATTCTTCCCATGCCCCACCATCATCATCATCCATTAATCAGAGAAAACATTCAGCCTTTAGTTTTTTTTTGGATTGGCTTACTTCCCTTAGTATAATATTCTTCAACTGCATCCATGTATCAGCAAATGCTATCATTTTATTCTTTTTTATTGCTGAATAATACTATGTATATATATATGTGTGTGTGTGTGTGTGTGTGTGTGTGTGTGTGTGTGTGTGTGTGTATATATATATATATACACATATATTTTACAGTTTCTTTGTCCATTCATCTATTTATTGGCACCTAGGAAATCTTCATCATGTCGAAGTAGACCCTGACTTCCTTAACAAGAGTCCTAAAGCCCAAGAAATAAAATCAAGAATCAATAAATGTGATGGATTCAAACTAAAAAGCTTCTCAAAAAAGCAAAAAAGACAATCATTGAGGTACAGAGAGAACCTATTGTATGGGAGCAAATTTTTACCACATATACATCAGATAGAGCACTAGTCTCCAGGATATATAAAGAACTCAAAAAACTTAATACCAAAAAAAAAACCCAATCAATAAATGGGTAAGGTACACTTAGCCCATTAACAGACACTTCTCGGAAGAAGATATACTAAAAATCAACAAATATATGAGAAAGTGTTCAACATCTTTACTAATTAGAGAAATGCAAATCAAAACTACTCTAAGTTTTCATCGAACCCCAGCCAGAATGGCAGTTATCAAGAATACAAGCAACAATAAGTGTTGGAGAGGATGTGGGGGAAAAGGTACACTCATACATTGCTGGTGAAACTGCAAATTGGTGTGACCTCTTTGGAAAGCAGTGTGGACATTCCTCAGAAAACTTGACATGAAACCACCATTTGAACCAGCTATCCTACTCCTTGGTCTATACCCAAAGGACTTAAAAACAGCATAGTACAGAGACATAGCCACACCAATGTTTACAGCAGCTGAGTTCACAATAGCTAAACTGTGGAGCCAACCTACATGTCCACCGTAAGTGAATGGATAAAGGAACTGTGGTATATATACACAATGGAATATTGCTAATCAACCTGCTGTTAGGGAAGTATTTATTTATCTAGAAAGATGTGAGGACACTTAAATTCTAAGAGAATTTAAGTGCCCAATATAAACACCAATACAAGGGGGTAAAAGAAGTCCTCCTCTCACTACACTGTGCTTTCACTCCAACACATGAGTGCCAGCAATGAGAAGCAGCAAAACCAGTGGGAAAGGGACATTCAAGAGACATTAATGTTTAATTATATTCATGGATAATTTATGAAACAATGTGACATAAGGAAAATAAAATGAGCAAATGAGTGAAATTTACCAACTTCATAGCTCTTATGATCATCTCTAGTGACACAAAAATGACTGACTTCCTTTCAGATCTCAAGAAACCCCAAATCTAAAATGGAAGTAAGGTAACTGTGCAAAAAAGTATAAAGCATTGGGTAATAAGATTAGTAGGTAAAATCCTAGAATAGCAGGGAGAAGAAAAGCAATGATTTGTGAATAGTATAATCAAAACCACAAGGCAATACTTGAAGGATGAGTAGGCAGATAGCAGATAGAAATGGGCAGGGAATATTCTAAGCTGAGAGAATAACAAGAAAATATACCACAGTTTCTTTATCCATTCATCTATTGATGGGCATCTAGGAAATCTTCATCATGTCGGATTAGACCCTGTGTACAGTGTATAGTGTATTTTTAGAATTTTGAGTTCTCCTGAGTGGTATAAACCACAGAAAATGATGTTGAGAAGGTAAATTGAGTCATTTGATAGTATCAAACAGATATTGACTACTTTTCTGTATGCCGGGAACTTTTCCAGTTACTCTGTGTGGCGCATTTCCTTTAGTCATTACATCTACTCTAAAGAGTAGATACGATTCTTTTTCCATTTCATCCGTGAGTAAACAGGGGATTAAAGAATAAATTTCCCCTGTGTTATTTATATACCATGTGACTGTCTGAGTCAGCTTTTTTTGTCTCTGTGAGCAAAAGACCTGACAAGAACAATTAGAGGAGGAAAAGCATTTGGGGAGCTCACAATTTCAGAGGTCATTTGCCATAGACTGCTGGCTTGAGAGCTGTGGGTCCAAGATAAAGCAAGTATCATGGCAGAAGGGTGTGACAGAGGAAAGCAGCTTAGGACTTGGCAATCAAGAATGACAAAATACAAAGGTATGCCCTCAGTGACCCACCTCCTCCAGTCACTACCTACCTATCTCCAGTTACTACTCAGTTAATACCACAGTGGATTAATGCACTGCTTGGGCTAAGGCTCTCATAACCCAATCATTTCATCTCTCAACTTTCTTTTGTTCTCTTACACATCAAATTTTGGGGGTCATTTTATATTTAAACTATAACAGTGACATAGCAGAAACTGTTAGAAGAATTATCAAAAAGCATATTTTCCCCACAGTTTTTTATTGGCGCATTATAGTTGTACATACTAATGGGATTTGTTATTACACATTTTATCAGTCTTATCCTACCCTTTTGGACCATTATTTGAATAGGTATGGATTTTATTGAACATTTTTTACTTGATTGCAAAGATCATAGATAGCCAAAAGAAAGGATATTAAAATAGCTGACAGTGAGTTTTTTGAAAACTTTGAGATTATTGAGAACAAAGAATTTTCCAAATAGTGATAGTGAGCTAAAAGGAGGGGCCTCCTATGAGTCAAAAAAAAAAATGGCAGCCTTAAGCCACGTGTTTTCCTTTCATTCTAAAACAATCAAAACAGTACATTAAAAAAGAACTATATTGTAACTATTCTTCAAAGTTTCACCACCATTTAATATTTTACAATTTCATCCCCATTTCTATTTCCAGAACATGGCAGACCTTTTCGTGGATTCATCCTTTTGAACATTCTGTTGTCTCTATCTAAATTCTGATTCTATTTCTCCTCTTGTCAAACTCACAGATATGAAATCATTTTATACACAGTCCTGTGTAGCTTCTCTGTGAATCTGTTCCCATTCCACCTCAGGTATAAGCCCTGCAAGATTAAAATTACCTTGCAATACTCTCTCTTCTAAGTAAAAAAAAAAAAAAAATGTGATGTGGAGTAAAATCAATGAATCAATTTGAGTGGAAGTGATGGTTACCATGAATGATTTCACTCCTTAATTATAAGTGAAGCATGCTATAAAAATGTCACTCTTCTAAATGTCCAGGTCTAGAAATGTATTCAAAAACATCTTTCAAGTATTCTATCATGCCAGTTTTTTTTAAGGTAACCTTAAAAGTTTCTTTATTTTTTTTATATACATTTATTGAATTGCTACTTTGAACAAGACTTTGTCTTATGTTTTATGTATACAGTGGTAAATAATATAGTATCAGTCTTCACATAGCTTATAATGGAAGAAAAAGATCTTAAACAATTATTGCCTAAATGACTCATTTATCTAGAGGTGTTCCTATCCTCAGGTGTCAATGAAGTGATATTTCAGAAAACATCAATATTATATGTAGAATTAACTCATTCAAAAAGAGACCTTAATTATTGATTTTTGCTTTGATGTTAGGATAATAGAAGCCATTGAAGAATTCGGGCACATCATAATCAAAATTGAGTTTTAAAAAAGAGTTTTATTGTTGCAGTATATACAAAGTTTTGTAACCATTGGAAAAGCATTGACAGAGTGGCTGATGAAAATGTTATCATAAAAGTCCATAGGGGAGAAAACAGTAGTTTGGATTGTAGCAGTGGAATAAAGAAAGGATAAATATATCTCAGAGTATAGGGGATATATTGTCCTGACACTCAAAAGAGATGACTGGTCCTCAGATCCTAATGAGAGACATGTCAGGACATAATTTGTAATCTCAGCTAATCTTAATCCCCTCCCACCACTGGATAATGGAAACCAGGGGTGTTCTACCACTGAACAACATTCCCCCACATCGTTTTACTTTTGTTCTAATTTTTATTTTTAGGGAGAGTCTCACTAAATTGCTGAGCTGGTGATCCTATTCTTCTGTCTCTCCAGTTGCTGGAATTATAGCCCTGGGGTACTACT